CAATTCACGTTCTTACTTTGAAATATTATTTTGCAAAAATATGCTCGTACACTGCAACAATCATAAAAATACATATGTTGAATTGCTATTGTCAACGGTTCTGCTATTTTAGACAACAAGGTGTTAGCCAATCAGAATGCAAAATTGACCGGATCAGACCAGGGCTTTCTCTTCTCTCGCTTCACATGAAAGCCCTGGGAACGTGGTTGATTCATAATTTATTCATCAATGTTGTTGCGAAGAATCTATTCAAATCTTTTAAAGGTATGTTTATTGTGATATGATTATTTTACACTCACATATTACTGACAGTAGTTTAGCCCCTGTGACGGTGCAGGATTTTCCCGTATTACCCCGGGCAATTCGGAGTTTTTATTGGCCAATTACGAAGCTGAGGGAGAGCCGTCGCTAAAAGTATAAATTAACCTAAAATACGTACAATACTACACTTCACTGTTGTGGCTACAGAAGGTTCTCGTGCAATACGTTCTTTGCTGGAAAATGTTATGCAAGGTGAATTTTACGATGTTTAAATTTTTTAGATTTTGTTGCATGCCATATATGGCTGATTCGTAAAATGCGACAAATATGGTGTTTTTCCGACGATCATTAATTCATGTGATGTAAATCATTCATTGATTAAAAATAGCTCGAATACGGTAGGTAAAGCTTTGCTGTTTTTAATATACCTTATATTCTGTTATTTGTTGTGATTTTGGAGCTGTTACTAATCAGGCGTTTATTAAATATTTATTTTTCGTGAAAGCCACGCTATTAAGATACTCCATTTTTTATATACATTCAAATTAAAACGGAGCTTTTGTGGTAGCACTGATTATATTGTTTAAAAGCTGAAAACTACAGAAAATTTTGTAAATAACATTAAATAATATTATATTAAAAATATCAAAGAGAATTCTGATTCGTAATGTTGAAATTTAATACAACGAAATATAATACAACTATAGGCTACATTTCCTGCATATAGTTCGGTCAGTTAGTTGTAAATGTTTTTGTTCCCTTCCGAAAAGCAACTGAATTCCACTTGTTTATCTGCTTGCAGGATTAATAAACATATAAACAATGGAGAACTTGCATAGTTAGACTAAATCTTAAACCAAATAAAGAGAAGGTGATCAAACACAAGAGCTAACAAGCCTCATATAATGGAATTATAGTAAAATTGCAAAAGCTATAGTTGCGAAATGCCGTGAAGTTTGTCGTGAAGAATATAAATATATATATATATATATATATATATATATATATATATATATATATATACTGAATGTCATAAACATACTCGTTTATATTAATTCAGCATCGAACAATACTAGTTCTGCAAGTGTTATGTTAGTTGTGTAATTGTACACTCTGTAATATGTTAAGATGAAAATGTTCTAGTGTGTGTATTATATAATTTCCATACCCAGCGCAAGCAGAAAGATGTTGTCTGCCGCGGCTGGATCTCGAACCCGCGACCTTCGAATTACTAGATCGACGCTCTACGGTCAGACGGATTTAAGACTGGAAATTATGAAATATATACTGAATGTCATAAACATACTCGTTTATATTAATTCAGCATCGAACAATACTAGTTCTGCAAGTGTTATGTTAGTTGTGTAATTGTACACTCTGTAATATGTTAAGATGAAAATGTTCTAGAGTGTGTATTATATAATTTCCATACCCAGCGCAAGCAGAAAGATGTTGTCTGCCGCGGCTGGATCTCGAACCCGCGACCTTCGAATTACTAGATCGACGCTCTACGGTCAGACGGATTTAAGACTGGAAATTATGAAATATATACTGAATGTCATAAACATACTCGTTTATATTAATTCAGCATTGAACAATACTAGTTCTGCAAGTGTTATGTTAATAAACGCAATTACGTGGATTTAATCTCTGACGAGAGACATGAAACAGCTTGTCTCGTCTCTTGCTGCTAAACGAGTCGTCGTTTAGTTCGGATGGTTTGTCGATTGGATTTCTTCGACACCACTGATTGAGCGCTTCAATTAGTTTAGTGAAGGTCCATTTCTCCCATTCAGGGTCCGTACGCACCAAATCTCCACGAATGCTAGGCAGTTTATTAAGATGAAAATGTTCTAGACCGAGTGTGTATTATATAATTTCCATACCGAGCGCAAGCAGAAAGATGTTGTCTGCCGCGGCTGGGTCTCGAACCCGCGACCTTCGAATTACTAGATCGACGCTCTACCTACTGAGCTACACGGTCAGACGGATTTAAGACTGGAAATTATGAAATATATACTGAATGTCATAAACATACTCGTTTATAATAATAATAATAACTTTAATCATACAAAAATACCATTACTGATATGTCGAATTACAAACAAAAAAACTGAGTACAGTATATGGAAAATGAGCTTAAGAAACAAACTTACAATTGGTCAAATGTTTTTAAAATATCATAACAGAATTTAGCAACTAGTGAATTTATGGATTTGTCTTTCATTGACATAATATATATGAAAAGATCATGGTTATTAAAAAATCTAAAAGAATAGATAATTTGAAAAAGATTGGTAATGAAGTTCATTCTAATCACTGTGAATTTTGTAGTATCACATTGCATTAAATAGTGTTGTTCATTACCAACCTCATTCAAGTCACAGTGGCTACAAATTCTCTCTTCATATGGGATATTGTTGTAGCGACCAACTTCAACTGGTAATCTGTGGGCTGAGATTCGGAGTTTCGTAACTGCTTGGCGATGTTTTATATTGTTAATTTCAAAAATATATTTTTCTGAGTCAAGACTTGTTTTAATTTTCTTAAAAGTTCTTAGTTTGCCCCGATTACCACCTTGTTGAATTTGTTCTTTCCAGTAGTTAATATAAAAGTTTCTTAATTCATGCTTTAAATAATGGCAAAAGTTTTTCAATTGAACAAAATCGCTGTTTATATTTTCATCGCATAGTTCTAACAAATGTGTTGTTAAAGCTACTGGTTGTAAGTTCATGGCTATACAAACATTTCTTGCTTCACCAACGAGTGTGCATGTCATTAAATGACTGATCGTTAATACGCAACCAAAATTTAACCATCATGGTGTATACTTGGAGGATTAAAGATCTATATTAATTCAGCATCGAACAATACTAGTTCTGCAAGCGTTATGTTAGTTGTGTAATTGTACACTCTGTAATATGTTAAGATGAAAATGTTCTAGAGTGTGTATTATATAATTTCCATACCCAGCGCAAGCAGAAAGATGTTGTCTACCGCGGCTGGGTCTCGAACCCTCGACCTTCGAATTACTAGATCGACGCTCTACCTACTGAGCTACACGGTCAGACGGATTTAAGACTGGAAATTATGAAATATATACTGAATGTCATAAACATACTCGTTTATATTAATTCAGCATCGAACAATACTAGTTCTGCAAGTGTTATGTTAGTTGTGTAATTGTACACTCTGTAATATGTTAAGATGAAAATGTTCTAGAGTGTGTATTATATGATTTCCATACCCAGCGCAAGCAGAAAGATGTTGTCTGCCGCGGCTGGGTCTCGAACCCTCGACCTTCGAAATACTAGATCGACGCTCTACTTACTGAGCTACACGGTCAGACGGATTTAAGACTGGAAATTATGGAAATTCTGCTTGCGCTCAGTATGGAAATTATATAATACACACTCTAGAACATTTTCATCTTAACATATTACAGAGTGTACAATTACACAATATAATATAATATATATAATTGTACCCTGCGTAATATGTTAAGGTGAAAATGTTCTAGAGTGTGTATTATATAATTTTCATACCAGCGCAAGCAGAAAGATGTCGTCTGCCGCGGCTGGGGCTTGAACCCGCGACCTTGGAATTACTAGATCGACGCTCTACCAACTGAGTTACTCGGTCAGACGGATTTAAGACTGGAAATTATGAAATATATACTGAATGTCGTAAACATACTTGTTTATATTAATTCGGCATCGAACAATACTAGTTCTGCAAGTGTGTGTGTCTTAAATCCGTCTGACCGTAACATCTTTCTGCTTGCGTTGGGTATGGAAATTATATAATACACACTCTAGAAGATTTTCACCTTAACATATTACGGAGTGTACAATTACACAACTTAACATAACACTTGCAGAACTAGTATTGTTCGATGCCGAATTAATATAAACAAGTATGTTTATGACATTCAGTATATATTTCATAATTTCCAGTCTTAAATCCGTCTGACCGTGTAGCTCAGTTCGTAGAGCGTCGATCTAGCAATTCGAAGGTCGCGGGTTCAAGACCCAGCCGCGGCAGACTTGCGCTGGGTATGGAAATAATATAATACACACTCTAGAACATTTTCACCTTAATATATATATATATATATATATATATATATATATATATATATATATATATAAATGTAAATATGGATTTTTATGTCAATTAATTAGATAAGTGAGTATAACAATTTAATTACATTTAATGTTAATCCCTGGCGCACCTGTTGAAAAGGGAGGAAATTTAGTTATAATTAGCAGTCACATGAAGTGATGTGATTGGCTAGACAAAAAAACCTGTTTATAAATCACACAGAACATGATGTAAACAAAATACAGATATAATACAAACGTATTAAATTTAAAATGCTTTCTCAGTGTGGATTATTTGAGATTAGCTTAGTTTGTTCCGATTTTTCCGCTATAAAAATATTTTCTGCGCTGGAGAGGAGCTGCCATCGCGGCATGACTTGAGAGTCGACGGCAGATAATATAGAATAGACTGAATGATGATTTATTTCAAATGTCAATCAACGTTTGTTACATACTTAGAAGTTAATTATTAACTTATCGCATCCTAGAAATACTGCATTACTCTCCCTCTATTTTTTTTAACTGAATGTCAACCACTTAATAAAATGTCCTTGCCTTATTTTCGTACTTATGTAAATCAACGTTGTCTGATGTTTCTATAATTTAAACGTTTATATCGTTTTACTGTTTATAACATCAAGTCTGGTACTGATATCCTATTACCGATCTATACATTCTTGTAGATATCCTTACACATGGTTCTTGCTTTTGTGGTTCCTCTGTTTCCGTCGATCTTCCCGGTGCTGTATCTTCCTGCTGCTCCTCGCTTTCCACCATTACTACCTTTTTAAAGTGTGAAACGTTTCTTGTCACCGTCTTACCATCTCTTTTAGTTATGATGATGTCGTGCTTACGTTGTACTACCGTATAATGTTCTGGGTCAAACTTTGATGTTAACTTATTGTTCTTCTGTTTGCAAATGACGATGTCACCCTTTTTGGTACCAGCTTCCTTTGTTCTTTTGTTTCTTTCGTAGTACTCTTTGTTCTCTTCTTTCTTCTGTTCCATATTCTGCTTCGCGCTCTTGTGTCTATTAACTACTTTTTTCCTTGTGAGTTCTGGTAAGTATCCCCGAATTTATCTGTTAAAAAGTAGTTCACACGGAGCGACTTTAGTAGTTTGAGAAGGAGTTGAACGGTATTGAAGTAGAAACTTTTGCAGTTCTTGCTTCCAATTCTTTCCTTCATTTTCTGCTGTTTTCAAGAGTTTTCCAATTGGTTTCATAAATCTTTCTACGACGGCATTACCCTGGGGCCATAGTGGTGTAATTGTTTTCCATTCAATACCAAGGGTTTTAGCGTATGTTTCAAATTCTTTCCCATTAAATGGGGTCCATTATTTTTTATGGTATTCCATATCTGGCAAATATCGTATCTAATTTTGGTATGAAAGTTTTTGCTTCGGTTGCGTTGACTATTTCTACCTCTGGGAATTTTGAGTAGGTATCGATAACCACTAGCAGGTATTGACCAGTTCGGTGTACTGGACCATAGAAGTCGATTGCTACACTAGTCCATGGTTTGTCTTCGGTTGGTCTTATTTTCATTGGCCCCGGGTTATCACCGTGACCTACTGCTTGGCAAGGAATGCATTTGTCTACCATTTCTTTCACTTGTTTGTCCATATTTGGGTACCAGATTTTTTCGCGTAGTAGGCTTTTCGTTTTCTCAATTCCCTGATGCCCGATGTGACCTAATTTTGTTGCTCTTTCTTGTAATGTTGTTGGAATGACCAGCCGGGTGTTCTTCAACAGTATACCTGCTGACGCATTGTACGTAACTTCGTCGGCGCAAAGTCTAAACGGTTTAAGGTCAGGATCGTTCTCATCCTATTTTCCCTCTTTCAGACAATTCTTAACTTTTTGTAATACTGGATCGTTATGGGTTGCTTTTTTAATCTCGTTGAGTGTCATTGACTTTGGAACTGAACAGTTAGTTACATAGTTCACATATTATTCTGCTGATGTACTAGTTATTTGTTCTCTCTCAATAACAGCTGGATGTCTACTTAAGTAGTCAGCGTCGTTTAAGGATCCTTTGCAGTAAATGACTTTGAAGTTGAATGGTTGTAATCGCATCATCCATCTCTCAATGCGCGCCGGTGGTCTGGATCTTAGGTTATTGAATATAGATTCTAATGCTTTATGATCAGTTATCATATCGAATTCGGATCCACTCAAGAACATTCGAAAATGCTCAATTCCCCATACTAAGCTAAGTCCTTCAATATCTGTTTGAGCTTATCTTGTCTCAACTGGGCTGAGTGCTCTGCTTGCATATGAAAGGATTTTGTACTGCTGGCTGTGATGTTCTTTCTGTGCTAGTATTGCACTAATTCCATAAGGGGAGCCATCTACGATTACTAGACTTCGTTTCTTTGTATCGAAATATGCCATAACTGGGATACTTGTTAGTTTCTTTTTCAGTTGCTCAAATGCTTTCTGATGTCTATTTTCCCACTTAAACGCAATGTTTTTCTTGGTTAGTTCTCTTAGAGGTGCTGTAATAGTTGCATAATCTGGAATGTATTCGTGGCAAGTGTTGGCTATTCCCAGAAAACTTCTAACTTCTCCAGCAGTTTTGGGAGCTGGTACTCTAACCATGTTCTCAATTCTCTCTGGATCTGGTTTGGTTCCTGCTGCTGTAAATTTTAATCCGAAGAACATAATTTCGTCTTGTAGAATTTCACATTTTTCCCCTTTCACTTTCAAGTTTTAGTGCTGCTAGCCGTTTTAGACATTTCTCTAGTGCTTCATCGTGTGACTTTCGGGTTTTACCATGAATAATAATATCATCTACCAGGTTTTTCACTCCTCTGATATCGCTAAGGTTTTGTTGTAGCACATTTTGGAATATCTCGGCTGCACTGTTCGTACCGCAATTTAATCTTTTATACTGGAACAGTCCTTCATGGGTAGACAACGTTGTAATGAATCGACTGTCCGGAGTAATTCGAGCTGGTGATATGCTTGCTTTAGGTCAATCTTTGAGAAGAATTTTGCTCCATTTACCTCAGCTTAAAAATCTTGTAAAGTTGGCATTATGTGTCTCTCTCTTTCGATTACCTGGTTTGCTTCCCTCATGTCTACACATAGTCTAATACCTCCGTCTTTCTTTGGCGTGACGACTATTGGAGATATCGGATCCATGGTGTTGGTTGATTGGCAACTTTCTCGACAATGTCTTGCTCTTCTAGTTTCTTTAGTTCCTTAGAAACATCCTTTCTGACATGATATGGTATACGTCTTTGCCGCTGCATAACTGGTTTGACATCGTCTCGAATATGAAGTTTAATTTGCTGATTGTTTAATTTTTCTTGCCCCTTGAAAACTGTACTATATTTGTTTTAGATTTCTTGTATTTTTGGGTCTTTTGATTGAGGAACACTTGTGTTGATTTCTGGATTGGCCTCGCATGCAGTGCTGTGTGTATTGTTTTAATTTGTTTTTGTTTGTAAATTAATTTAGGCCCTATTTACTTAATAGCTCTATGCCTAGGCCGATGTAGTCTCTACAAGATTCGCACGCCACCCAGTTTTACAGTTTCAAAATAGCTCGATTACTTGAAAATTGCGACAATACGATAAAATAAAACAAAGATTGTGAAGGGGATAAAATTTGTAGGCAAGCATTGCTCCTGAACGGCAAGTGTTCGTGGCCGGCGAAACAAGCGAATCCGTATATTCCTGTACAACGTAAATAAACAGGTTACGCGAGGTTTTATATTTGTGTTTATTTATATTGAACTATAGTCAGATCTATAAGAGCATATTTAAATTAAATATTAATTATAGCAATAGCCATATTGTTGAAGACGAGAGAAAGGAAATTTCGTGTGAATCACCACTTGCATGGAGACGCCTAGATGCAGCATGGATGCAGCTTTGCCTGTAGTTGAAAATCTCCAGAAATATCGGTATATCTTAGAAAACAGAGACGGGATCATCATAGATTTCAGCTGATTCGTGCCAAACTTCGCTGTATACAAATAAATAATATCGATTGAGAAGTCTTTTGGCTATTTATTTGTTTCGAAGACTTGTATATTTCATTAAAGAATATCTCGCCACTCCTTGACGAGTAGCTGTCAAATACTGCCATTTTTTGTCGTCACGTGACCGGCCCGGACCAGGGCTTCCTCGTGTCTCGCTTCGTCCACACACTGAAGCCCTGGGAACGAGGTTGAAGTACGCCAACATTGAGGCAATTACGCCAAAGCTAAATAAAGATTTAGCTAATGAGTTTCGAAATATTTTTATTTGCCGTAATTTGGAGCAGGGGCGTAGGATGCGGGAGGAGAGGGGGGGAGGTGGCGCTCCCCCAATATTTTATAAGAGGGGCGATAGCTTTCGCCCACCCCCAAAAAATATTGGATTGAAAATAATAATAAATTACTGCGAAATTCTCGAAAATGGAAGTTTTTGAAACATTATATACAGGGCCTATAAATTTTTGTTTCGGGGGCCCTATTTTCCCCCCCAAAATGTGGGCGAGCGGTAATTTTCCGGACATTAAAAAAAGAGTCAAAATATTTTTCTGCTGGAACATCAGCTAAACTGACATTCAAAACAATTTTTCCACACAAATTCCTGTTGCAACATGGGTCAAACACTTTTTTGTATCAATATATGTAGAATTTCGGTTTTGAAATTTTTTTCTCATACCATTATTTTTATCAAAACACGTTCGACATTATTAATTTTTTTTGCAAATGTAGGCCTTCCCTCCTTAAACTGGGGGCCCGGGGCAAATTGCCCCCTCTTCCCTCCTGCCCTCCCTCTGAAAAGCCCTGTGTATATATCATATCAATAACGTATCTGTAATTGTTTAATAACCAGGGGCGGATCCAGGATATTTCGTACGTTTTCGGATGTACAATCAAGTTTTGCGAGCGGCGAATGCGCGACGCACCTAGGGGGTCTGTCCCCCAGGAATTTTTATATTTTTAAACCTCAGAAACGGAATTTGCATCACTCTGAAAGCAGCTTCAACAAAAAATTAACTGCATGAAATGGGAGATAATTATAGCAACTATCAGGCTGACTCACAACTCGCTCCTTATGGAAAAATAAAGGAGAATTACTTGCAGAAAATGATAATTGTGGAAGATGTTTCATTGTATCAAATTACGGATTACTAGTATTATGTTTAACTCTCTCATGATAGTACTACACTCATTTTTGTTGCCTAATAGCCTTGTTGATAATAGCCCAGTGTCATATTACTCAAATAAACATATATCAATATTAAAGTCTTAACATTCATCTATAAAACCTGACCTTTATATCCTATGTATACTGCATTAATGCATTTATATAATATATAGGTTACCTCCATATTAATAGGCTATTAATAATAGCCTTCTGAGTTCTGACGGTCCTTCAACCGCAGAATTACAAATATGCAAATTTGTTGTGTAAATCAAAATTCGTAGCTAAATCTAAATCAAGATACGCGTATTCAAGTTACAATTTTACATATGCATGGCGCGCATCTTGTTCGCTTATAAATATTGTTATGCTGTCTAAAACGAAATAAAATTTACATATCACATTAAATTTACCTTATTGCACTTCAGAATAAAGATATCGGCGCCAATACTTCTACTCAAACAGTCAAATTGTAGTTCGTGCTATTCGTGGCGCTTACGCCGCTTAGCAACTGCTCACTGAATGGAACTTTCCGATATTTAGCGTTGATTTTCCTCCCAAGATCAGCGCTACACTCTTGTAAGACAGCTAAATCATTCACCGCAAATGTGGATTGAACCGTTTCGTGAATACTACAAGGACTGGAGTCTGGAGCAGCAGACATTTCCGAATTTTCCGTAGATATCTTTAAATTGAATCTTTCGACAAACTTCAACATCACACTTCGAATGAGCGCGCGCTCGGAAAGACTTTACCACGCGTCAAGTATTAATGATATTCCGACTAATGGAGCGCCCCTGACTTTTGTAAGTCGGTCAGAACTCCCCACAGATAATTCAAAATCGCAAAATACCGCTTGTTCCATGGCAATAAGCTTCCAGAGGCTTGACTAAGCTCGTCGGCTCAACCACTGTATGAAATTTGATCACTGGACTACAGTTAGATTGGAATGTTAATTGCCAGCGCTGCATGATAATAGTTACTGGACTATTATAAGGTGTCGCTGCATGATAAAAAATAACTGGACTATTGGTCGAATATTTAAGACTTTAATTAAGTTTGCAATTTTTAAGTTAGTCGAGGTATAAAAGTAGCTTAATTCTGGTCTTCAACCACGCAAAACAACCATGATGTGCGCATGTGTGTTGCTGTATCGCGCAAAGAGGGGAACGGGACTGAGAATTTAATAGAAGGAAAATGGCGGATGTAAATGATGTAAATACGGTACGTGTTTCTTAATTTATGTATTTATTCATAAAGTTAAAATGCATTTTAGCGTTTGATCATGATAATATTTTAAATGTGTATTATTAAAATGCTGATAGTGAATAATTAAATCATATATTACATTTATATTCTCATATAGACTGCTGCTGCTGCATCTGCGAGTTCGGATTTGTCAGGAGACCAAACTGCAAAGTCCCGAAAGGGTAAAAAGGTACAATATTAAAGATGAACACACAACCAAATTCTGCAAGGCGGCCGGGGCCAGATTGCAGATTAGGAAAAGTGCACACTTGCAAATTTTTTGTACATTTATATAAACTTTGAATAATTAATTATATATACAGTATTTGTGGAATTGTGGCTATACACCTACATATAAAGTAACAAAATTTGTTGTATATTTAATAAAATGGTAATTTTAAGCGTCCATGTCTATATTCATATTGCCATGCTGCCCACATATAACATTGCACTAACGTTAAGTGAGCTCGGGTGGGGGTGGGGGGGTAACATCAACTTGTTGACATTATCTTGTGGGAACTATAATGGGGGACCTATTATAGTCTGGCAGTTAAGCGGTTTCAGCCTATTTTGTGAGTCGGATTATGGAAAAGTATTGATTTTTGTAGCGGTTTACGGTGAGGATACTATCTAGCGGTGGCGGAATTTCACAACTTTATCACACAGTTTTTAGGCAAGTTTAATCGTGGATTACGGTTAGAAATATAATTCAGTGCCCTTTCATAAGGGCTCAAAAGCTATCCATCCTTCATGGCATTTTTGAATGCTTGAATTATGCTTCGTATAGAAAATGGAATAATGGATGGTCTTTATTGCTTTGTGTGGAAAACAAGGCGGTCACAGTTGTACAACAAAATGACGAGCGGTTGACGGAACAAGAGAAAAAAATTGCACGGTTTGAGGAAAGACTTCCCCCTATAATAGGCCCACATAATTGTCCTATAAGTTACAGCGTTTAAATGTGGGTGTATATGAGTTATGTTAAATACCAATTCAACAGGGCCCCTAAGTATTTGGGTCTTAAATATTTGGTTTGTTGGTTGGTTGAGCAGCCATGCCCCCCCCCCCACTCCCCCTTTATAATAGGAAAATAGAACACTGATTGGTAAAATAAGAAGATGTTATTGTTGCCAACCCGGCCCTCTCACCCCGGCAAAGGATAAGCCACTTTAGACAGGGAAATTAATAATGAGTATTTGCCTAGATTTGTATATATATATATATATATATATATATATATATATATATATATATATATATATATATATATATATATTAAGAATGATGCTTTGTGTTTATTTACTCTCAAAATAAGGGATTTGGTCACTTCCACTGTTGTAGTTTGCTGTAATTTACTTCTGCTTGTTTAGTACGGCATGGTTGCTGAATTATGGGTGAATGTGGCGATAAAATTTAAATTTGCACATTTGATGTGTTAACTTGCAGTATAAAGTAACTAAAAATACATCCTTTGTTTATAGTGTTGTAAATGATCATATGAAATCACATAAAATCTAAATTTTATCACAGTATTTGCTTATAATTTGGAAGGTTCATATATTTAATTTCATTGTATGTAATACTGACCGTAAACCTCCGAATATAAGCCCCCCGAATATAAGCCCCCCCCCCTCCCTGTGCATAACATTACTGCATGTACTAATTAATGCTCATCTCATTCCAAATATAAGCCCTCCCCCCTCAAATATAAGACATTGTCATTGTCTTTATAGCTTGCTATATTAATCAAAGCACATTGTTAATACATGTTTATTTTCCTGTTTATGACTGACTTGTTTATTACTAACACAAACGATTGTCCATGTATAAGCCCCCCTTATATATATGCACCCCCCTTGTATAAACCCATAAAAAAACGCTTATGAAAGAATATAAGGCCAGGGCTTATAGTTGGAGGTTTATGGTATGATCAAATTTTACAGTTGGTATATGAACCAAATCAACGGAAGCGAAATAGGATAAACAGACAGTATGCAAAAAGTATTAGTAAAAAGGTTAGTTTTTACAGCAATGTATGTGTAGTGTATTTGTATGTTGATTTATTATTCTCCATGATGAATAAAATTAGCAAGCATCATAGTCATAGCAGGGTTTTCTTACAATTAAGCAACTGATCACCAGATGCTACAGGATTTATGTCAACAAATAGATTTTGTTTGAATGCTGTAACTAATTATTGCCTGTAACTGCTTCCCTTGTCATGCATCTACTGCAGACAATTTTGTTTCCCCATTTAATTTTTAGTGAAATAATTACTCCTGGGTTCACAACATCTATTTTTGTTGATGCTATATATACCTCCCTCAAAATATAGTAAATCTTTAGTTTAATTAAACAGTGGCAGGTACAGAATAATAAGACTGCTTTACCTCATCACTTTAACATCAAGCATTTAATGTGTCCAGAAACCTAGATCGGTCCTAGCAGTATCAGGTCAAGTTCTTTGCTGAAAGCTTATGCTAAACTTTTTGGGAATAAGGCAAAGTTTTTGTGTTTTAATTAAACTTAGTTTTTAAAATTTCATATTTTTTTTTCAGATTAAAGAGTGGCATACAAAAACTAAAATTCCAGTCATGTTGATGACCTACAGAAATAATTCTGTGCTGTATGAATGTATGTATGTAGAATGATTACTGTAATGTGAAACAACTTGCATGATATGAGTCATGTTGTTTGAGTCATAGGGTATGAGTCATAGGGTTGCAGGGCTCAAGATTAGTGGTATCCCGATATCCACGGGATACCAGATTTCAATTTTGGATACTATAGATATCATAGGCTTAGTATCTCGACGGGATACTAAAAAAATCGAAATCTTGGTGAAAATGATGCGCAATTTTTGGGACAAGATTTTGCCTATTAATCACATGTTTTAGACAGCATGCCTGTCATAATTTCAAGAAGGACAGTACCTTTCAAGAAGTACAGTTGTACCACTCTAAACAAATTTTGCATGTATTATTATTTTATAAAATCTCTAGAATATATTAGAAACAACTGAACTGAAACTATCCTTTTTACAAAAGCTTGGATATGTAAAAAGAGGAAAATAAAAATTAGTCACAACCACTTTACTAATAACAGATTTTTTTGCACATTGTTTGGAAAAGTGATGTGCAATATTCCCAATTTTAGACAAAACGATGTGCAAATTGCATATTGCACACTGTTAATTCGAACCCTGCATGGGTGACCCTAACGAATGATAAGATGTTTTGTAGTACTTGTTTACACACCTGTCCAGCAGTTATTTACCTTGTTTGGATACTGCTTATCGAAATACCTACTACCCAAATTTGGGATACTAAATTTCAAATATAGGGATACTAGATTTTAAGACCCTAGATAGTATCCACTTGGATACTAGTAAAAAATTCAAATCTTGAGCCCTGGGTTAAGGGTTAAGTATAAGATTAGGGTATAATTAGGTTTAGGATTAGGGTTTAAAGTTTAATATACCAAGAATACAAATTACAAAAGTCTATAAAAATAGTAACTCCCCCTAAAATGTGACAGGTACGTATAACAACTTGATACTTGCATAGGCAATGACACATGTACATAACATTAATTTCATACAATTTTAATAGGTTCCGAAGGCCTTGAGCCATTTGCAAAGGATCCTGTGGTAAAAGATGCATTTATAGAAAATGTTGTTAAGTGTGGAACCAGAAATCTTAGTAGAGGTTTGTTTATAAATTTGTGTCATTGCATGTACATACAGTACTTCATTACTATGATTTTGCTATTGAATATTTAAAAATGTTTGTATAATATACTAGTTTTGTACCTTGCTATATATTGTTTACAGTATGTACATGTGTAACCAGCCAAACCTCAAGATGTTAGACATTATTGTAAAATACTACAATGAAAAATATATTGTTTTTATCTTTATGAAATGTTTTGTCTTGATCATAACAGATAAATCTGCTAAAATTACAAAGCCAAATGTTCATTTCCCACTGGACCAGACGTAAATTATGATGATTACACTGTGGGTACATTAAGGAAAATGGTGACCCAAGCTGTAATGCTGGATGGTATGAATAATGTATCTACTAAGTATAAAATAAGGCAAAGATATAAAATTTAATTGTTATCTAATTTAGAAGTATATAACTAACTCGGTCTAGTCTAATGTTATGTACATCTTTACAGGTCGTAAACTTCCATACTGGACAAAAATGGGAAAGAAGCCAAACTGGTGGCCGAGCAACGTCGAGTATAGAAATGTGAACTGGGGGGAAAATAAGCCAAGGTTGAATGAACTTGTACAAATAATGCAAGCATTTAATCGCAATTTTGAAGATACCTCCAGTAGGTCGGGTGATGATAGCCACAGTGGAAGTGATGATGAGGAGTATGGTGAAAGTGAGGGTATGGTAGGTGTCTGCTCCACAAGAGAAAATGCTGATGATGGTGATGAAAGTGAGGGTATGGTAGGTTGCTGCTCCACAAGAGAAAATGCTGATGATGGTGACGAACTTCTGGAACCTGGTGTGAATGTCGAGATGCAAGCTGGTTTCATTGATGAGACTGAAACAGAAAATATAAAAAGACAAGTAATGGTATAAAAAGTTTTTGTTATTAAATATGAATTTCTTTAAGTATGTGAAGTACAGTCATGGGTCGAATCCCGCCTTCCAGAATGGGGAAAACTGAGGAAATAGATGGAAAATATTTTGTATTAATGATGGGTGGGGGGGGGGGAGAGGGGGCGTTAGATAGGTTGGTTTAAGCTTGCTGAGGAAGACGTGAAAATATGACGTTTGCTGGGCAAGACAAAATTCATGCACTTCAGTGCAAAGATGTTTATGGAGGGGAATTAGGGACAAAATTGTTTCAGAGTCAAAGCATTATTGTGTCATCACGGTCAATACGACCCAATGCCTGTCCAGTACGATCCAATTTGATACAATAATGCTTTGACTCTGAAACAATTTTGTCCCTAATTCCCCTCCATAGATATTGCATATGATGAGGCCCAAAATTTTTTGGCATAATCGTTTGTGCAGATTGGGACAGATATGACTTCAATTTTGGTATTATTTGCAGGTGTTAGGCTGTCACATTTTACTTGTGAAACAGTTTATAAAAAGGGCAGGGGTGGTGGAAAGAAGGGGAAACGTTGGCAAAGTGAGGGGTATGGTTTTAACTTAAAAGAAGCAGGGATCCTGTTCCAAACAGCATTGTTCCAATTTCAAATGAACATTATTCCAAAAACATACTGTTGATCTCTAAATTACTTATAGTTCCGTCCGTATCATTCTATCCAGGTTACTTGGAGTCGCATTGGATTGCTATAAGTCGCTTAGACTGGCTGAGTACTATGTGTGAGACTTGCAGGAAAATTTCATAACATGGAACTAGTTCTTTTAAATATTTTTTTCTCACAATAGCCTGCTGTTGAAAATTTTGACAACGAAAATGCTAGAATTGTGCTGGATATTCTACAACGACAAAACAGTTGCGTTAAATTCCTGAAAGTTTGTCAAATCATTTCTCCCTTGCTCAAAACGATAGAAGTGAACACATCTGGTTTTCTCAAAAAGGATTTAGTCCATACTAGGTATAGTTAAAATATTTGATGTGTGAATGCCTTTAACTTTTCTCTTTAAATACAGCTATTTCAAGTAAGGTTGTCCCCGAGCAAAGCGGAAAAGTCGAATACGAGCGGCTGCTGGGAATCGCTATGAAAATTCATTAATTTGTAAGGGATTCCCAGCAGCCTTTCGCGCTCATATTCGACTTTTCCGCTTTGCTCGGGGACAACCTTAATAGACCTTTCCCCTTTTAAGTGAAACTTTGATATAGACAAGAAATTTTTATCTAGACAAGACTTGTGTCTGGACAACAGCTTGAAAGAGTATCACAAAATTAGTAATATTCCGAAGTTCCGTTGCGAAATGTTGTAAAATGCGGATAATATAGCCTTGCGAAGTTTGCCGTTTTTCAGTCATTTTGATAATCAAACTGATGCAAAATGTTAGATTGTAATGCAAAATGCCGGGAAAACGGCAAACTTCGCAAGGCTATATTATCCGCATTTTACAACATTTCGCAACGAAACTTCGGAATATTACTAATTTTGTGATGCTCTTTCAAGCTGTGATGAAATTTTGTCCAGACTTGTCTAGATCAAAATTTCACTTAAAAGGGGAAAGGTCTATTGAAATAGCTGTATACTAGTACGGACGTACTGGGACAAGAATATATTAATACTGGAGGAATTTGAATCTAATTCCGTGCAATACCTTTTTAATAAAAAATCATCACTTCCTACATGCATCGATTAATTCGTAGGAAACGATGGATTTGCAAACGCGCAAACGTCTTTCTTGATTCCAGTATGCCCGTTGGGGGACATATTTTCAGTTTTTCACGGACGATATCCTTATGTATATGTTTTATTTAGTATGCGATGTCAAGTCCCGAAAAATCTTCGAGGAAACTTGAAAGAACCTGGAAAGGTAAAGGCTGATGGGAATTGTCTATTCCACGCTGTAGCTATGGCCATTAACATGAATGGGCGATATGTCGGTGAAGACCTCGCGTCAATGCTACGCTTGTATGCATTAACTAAGGGAGCGACAGAAATGGAATATTTCATACAAAAGGTAAATGAACTGGATAAGTTTGGGTATATCGTTTCTAAATATATAGTATTTTGTTAAGACTTTATTTACTTATATGACAAAGAACAGGATATACCATTTTTAAGATGGGGGGGGGGGCAGGCACATTTTAATGTCCACTTTATTTACTATTATATGGTTTAACAAACAAATATTGCATTGCTAATTAATTAACCAAGTTTTAATACTCATGTATGCGCTTGTGTTGAGGAATGTACTAGGTAATGATGTAGGTTTCTGGAGCCAGGTTGCACGTAGACTGGATAGCATTATTCACCAAACAGCTATATCGATGTCAACTTTAAAAACCTTTTTAATTAATTTAATACTAAACGTAAGTGGGTGTTGTACCAACCAAGGCCAATTTTTGAAAACTACAGTGAGGTTAAATCCCATCTGGCGAATAACTGTAAACGGTATCTGGTTATGGTACAACACACCCCAATGTTCTAACACGTTTTGGTCATTAAAGCTTTCCAAGAAATTTTCGGAAGAAGGGCAGCTTCGAAATTTGATGCACACCATAACGACAGAGGAAGTGTTGACCAAGACGGCTGTTCAGTCAGCGCCAACTGATCTTGAAGCATTTAGAATTGTGTATAAGGAGGAATTAAAGTCGACAGCATATGATGGAAGGTATTCAGGTAAGCATTACATAACTTTGAGTTGACCTATTATACCAAAACTGAAACACTAGGCTAGCTTCGTTCAAAGTAAACTTTTCCTCACTTGATGCAGTGTAGAAACGTTACTTTCATTGTTAGTTGTCATAATTCATTTCTTTCATATTTGTGGGAGATCAAAACTTTGTATATACATGTACTGTGGTCAAACAGGATTGGGAAAAAAACCCACTTGATATCAAATGCTCTATATGGTATTTTAAAAGAAAATTTTCCTGCAGGATTTTGAACAAAAAATTCCCTAGTCTGTGCGTATTTCTGCAAGTCCAAAATTGCATGGTGTTTGTGCCTGAAAGGTCTAACTAAGCTAATTTGTACAATCAGATGAATGTGTTTTAGAATTTGATGTTTTGTTTAGGTATATTGCAGGTAATGTGGTTGGCTCACAGCATACCGGTGACCATACATATGCATTGTTCTCGCCCTGGGTTTGACCTTTATAACAGGCCTATAATGGTGCAGCAATCCCAAAGCATAGTACATATTTTATGGGTTGACTTGAAGAACAAAGAATGTACAACGCCCAACCATATCGTACCGTTGTTGCCAACAGATGCGAAGGGTAATAACTATATCTTTTCTATTCCAATCTTACATAATATGCATTCTTAACATTTCTCCCCGTGAGAGCCGACTTTGTGTGAGGAGTGAGGGATCATGTGATTAATGAAGACTCGCGTGTACCCATCACACTGTATTATCGGTATTCCACTCTCTTTTTCATTTACATTATCTGTACATTAGAATTTCTGAATACTGGACGAAAGACGTGTGCAGCATATGAATATTGCCAACTGCAGAGTGATGGCATTGCAACTGGTATGATGGCCTGCAATCACTGCAATCAACTATTTCACAAGGAATGTGTATTTTTCATGGTCGAAACGGAACGTATACCTGAAAGTTGGACTTGTGGTTGCAGTACTATTTTTTCGGAAATTAAGTGAGTATTGTCAAACTATTGATTAAAGATGATGTAAGTGTGAGTACCAACTAAACATTTGGACTCGCACCATTACGAATATTTATGCTACATATAGCTAGTTGATGTTATGAATGAAGTTCATATTCTGGGCCAGGGTTAATAGTGAGCTCAATAATTGAGCGAGAATTAAGCGAGGGTATTAATTCCCCCGGCTATTTACACCCGGGGAAACGAAAGCATTAGCGAAGTCGAAAGTTCGTCAATTATCGCGGCCGCTCACCAACGATGTTGGGTGTTGGGTGGGTGGTCATCCTCACTGATCTCAAAAATATGGCGGACTCTCATGAATAGCGGACACTGATTGGTCCAATTTAAAGTTTGCATTATTACGACTCCATGACGACAGCGAAATAACAAATTTCTTGATTTGATGATTGATAAATTTCTTGCAAATATATTTCATTTTTGCTCGCATTTTTGCAAGATTTTGTAAATTTCAAAAGCTTTCTAATAAAGAAAGGGCAAAAGAATCGGCTAAAAGAAGGGAGCCGACGTTAACGAAGGTAAGCTTGTTTTAAATATTGATTTTATAATTGCTTTAAAACCCGACGGCCTTTGGCCCTTTGCGTATATGAAACAACTAAACAAGACAGCATATAATTTCAGTGTATTATTAATATTGATTCCCTTTTTTATTATAGGCGTTTTTTATTTGTAAGAATATTCTTACAGTGCGTCTACAGTTAGTGGGGCCACTTAGAGAACACTAACCAATCGTATTGCAGAACAAAAAGAAAAATCTAATCAAACTAAAGCTCGTCCAATCAAAAGAAAGATTCAGGAAGCCATTAACTGCAGTGTTTACTTTTACAAGTCTATTTTTACCGTTTGACATTCGTTTATTTGTTCAAATTGTTTTTGGCCTAATGCTGATTGGCTAATGCGCCAGTTTGTTGATTTTTTCAATATTTGTTCTGCAATGTGTACAGTAATGTACAATTTCTTGTTTATGGTTATTTTATAGGTTTTTGTCTTTTTACTTCATAAAAGCTTGGAAATAAGTCGTTGGGTCTCCGAGTGGTTTTATGAAAAGGCGGGGTGCTTAGGCGACTTGCCGTATTTATAAAGTAAGTAAAATTGTGGGTTCTGTTCAAAATAGAGTTCTGAGGGGTTACTTCACGTAGGCAGGTTCGACTCCTGCCGAACTCTACAAATGAACATGAACCCAGAGATATTTACAAGCACTTTTCTACTACCGGTATACGGTAGTAAATATTAATCTTCAACTCAACCTTCCTCAATATCTATTTTACCACAATACACCCAGACGAAATTGTGGTAAATGCGAATAATTATTGAGATGTAAAAGGAATAAAATATTTTATTCACGGCCAGCAAATTGAAGCACGACCATGCACTGAGCATGCACGACCAATATACATGCAGCACTATAGCAAGCCTATTTTATGCTTGTAAATATCCCTGGAACCAATGCATGTACAAAACCATACACATATAGTATCAGTATCATGCAGGATATAATATCATACACAACTTATAAGCCTTTCTCAGGTTGGTGCATATCAGCCATTTTGGGGTAGTGTGTACACGTCAGAGAATAGACAATGTAAGCAATGTGAAAAGCGGCGTTTAAAATTTTAACTGTAAATTTACCATTATACACACAAATGCAGTGATAAAAAGTAGCACTTCGCGGTGCGCACATTCTCGTCATGCAGACTTGGGAGAGGTAGTACCCCCAAAATGGCGGATAAACCAAGCTTGGGAAAGGGTATTGGGTCAAACGATCACAATGGGGTTTTTTCTGTTCTCATGCAAGCAGGTATAGAGAAATGTGAATGGAGGTTTACCGTTCTCAACCAAAGAAGGACCATATACTACCCAGTTGTTCAGTACACAAGTTTGTTTGCGCTTGATGTGTAGCGGGACGTCTTCTAAATTTGATTATTCATCTTTTGGGAATCTTGCATAATTTTTTAACAAGCTTCCGTAAACCTCCGACTATAAGCCGCCCCTCGAATATAAGCTCCCCCCTCCCCCAAATATAAGCCCACCACATGTACTAACGCTCACCTCATTCCAGATATAAGCCCCCCAGAATATAACCCCCTCCCCCCTTGCATAAGCCCATCAAAAATCGCTTACGAAATAATATAAGTCCAGGGCTTATAGTCGGAGGTTTACGGTATAAAGCTTACACGTGTATATAATAGAGCTAACCAGATTCAAAGCCTTACGTATTTACAGTATTCTTTTCTAGATTAAAATGCACTGCATGTTCAATAAACTTGTTGTATTGAGTATAAAATGTTATTAATTTAAATTGTCTGCAACTTAAGGCAGTCGAGAAATGTCACTGTAATATTTAATAAAGGGAAATTATAGAGTTTCTCCTTTTTGGAAGAGACATTCATCATCGTTGTTGGTATGAAATATGCTGTGTTTATTTAAAGACTTAGACATCAAGACTAACTGGAAGGCAGCAAGCCTTAAGTCCAGGTCAGGCCGACTCAGGCCTGTTTTAATACTTCAAATTTTGCTTTATTCAGCTTCATTATCTATAATGTTGTTTGAATTGCAAATTCGACGCAATCGAAATTCGACGTATAAAGCCTGTTCGAAATGTCGCATTGAATGCGTTCAAAACAATGGATAATAGGTATTTCGGCTTATTATCCATTGTTTTGAATGGCACATGTAAAATGTAACGTTTATATGTACTGTACAGGGTGTATCAATAAAAACGCAACCTCGGAATTTCCTAAGAAATCACTTTGCAATTCTTAAGCATAAAAGATTTTAGGCCCCTGGGAATTGAAATCGAATTGCTAATAGATTATATTACTGTTGTTGTGCATTAAATAAATCATAAATTTTGCTTTATGCACTCGCGTGTGCAGTAATTTTGACAGTTATGCTATTTTAAATTCCCAGGCGCCTAAAATCTTTTGTCTTTAAAACAATGTCGATTTCTTGGGAAATTCCGACGTTGCGCTTTTTTTTATACACCCTGTAGTTTGCCTCTTTTGTTGTGTAAAAATTTGCATGCGTAATCTTTTTACTCGCTTCCCTCATTTGTTGGGTAAATTTGCCTTAGTTTTTTATTTATTAGCCCTTTTGTTGTGTTCATTTGCGAGACAGTGGAGGCTATTTTTTGTTAAGTCTCGTAATCGAATTTGTTCAGGTAATCCAAGCTATAACATGGCCAGAAATTACGGACATTGATTCTGAGCATGTGCGAACTTTGACAAACAAAATGGCGGATTTGTTATATATAAATCATTAGGAGTGGTGCGGTTTTTTTTAATTTAAACTTGTTTGATAATAGCTATGTCATTTGCAGACTTCGCAATAATATAAACTATATCTGGACCGTAAAACATAAAAGTTTCGCATCGGAATCTTACCTATAAGTTGTTCCATTATTCAAGTCCACTTCATAGTACATCGGCGTATAATAAAGTATAGTAAAACTTGAGAAAATCGTTCAAAACGTACATTTTGCTCTGGCCGCATGTATCCCTCGAACCCTTCATGAAATTTGCAGACTTTGCGTCGTAAAATATATGTTGTCCCCTGCTTGTCTGCATAATTTCATAGTGATACGATTTTTTTAACTTGTTCCAGTTTACGGGACAAAATGTTGATATTTTACCCATAAATACCGTGTCGATAGGCCGTAAAACATTGCAAGAAGAACGATGTTTCATGAATTGTCGTCCATGTTTGATATCAACAAGAAGCTTAGGAACCAGGCTTTCTTCCAGTGTGGGCTACACGGAGGGATAGCGATGTATACAGAAAATATTTGAGTCGTTTACCATGCGCATCACTTTATATCCCATCATAATAAATGAAAGGTATGTAAAAGGCTGTCAATACATAATATATGTATTTTTCTGCTTTAGTTAAACAAAAAACTAAACAAAATGTATTTTTTTAGTTAAAACTTGCGTTTGTTAGGTATGAAGAACTTTTCATAGGAAAAACAGCTGAGATATATTGCGGGCGCATGTCCTGAATTTCTGGCCATGATTTGCTTGCAAACAAATACATGTTTTTTAGTCGGATCGATGGGGATTTATGGCTGATTTGCGCTTTTCGTTTGTCAGTGATAAACAAGTTGTTGATGAAATATTAAGCGAAAATCTAGTTCCTTCGGCCACTAAAAAATGTGACCATCAATATTAATTATCAATAAGTAAAACAATAAATGGATTAAAAACTTGTGTGCAAATTTCTTTGAAGCATGTTATCATGAATATTGGATGAGGGATGTTTAGTCTAAACGTCAGTATCATTATACTGAACCCATGCACGCGGGTGCGTAAAAAGGTATATCCACAGTAGCGGCCGTCCAGCCATGGGCGCGGTATTCGATCATCAGATACAGCATCTTTGAACATCGGCAAACATCAAATTAAACGTGCTATACGCGAGAAAAATAATTAAATCTCTTCAGTCTTCAAATGTCATAATACTTATGCAACAACTAAATGAATTACCACATTTAAGTACATTTCTGTATCATTGCATGAATGTGTGTTGTTCAGGTAAATACTAAATTAACATGAAATTTGAAAAGTATAAGCTCGACATTGGACGTGGACCAAGTCCCCCTCAATCCACCCCCAGCCCCCAAATATATATTTTTACGCCTGTATTCTAAAAGCTCACTCACACTCAATGAGTGGAGGTTCAATCTGAGCTTTTCTTGAGTGTCATTGCTGTTTTTGAATAGCTATAGGGGGTGAGTAGTCACATAGTAAGGTACGACACTAACCCTGATTATTTTACATCTTGTATTCTTGTTGCATTAAAATTTCAACTTTAACAGCATGCAAAGGCATTGAAGAACTGAGAAAATACTGTATATGCATATGAACATATCCTATAACTTCTCATGCAGACTTAATTTAGAATAAATTTTCCAGTAAATTCAATTAGATTGTCGTGGTTGTTTTGGGACCTGATATTCGTGGTTGATATTTTAGATTTTATATCATTCATGCAATTTCACCCTCTATAAAATGGGAAAGCATTGTAGGCTGACTGGAAAATTTATGCATATGAACATATCTTATAACTTCTCAGACTTAGTTTAGAATAAAAATTCCAGTAAATTCAATTGGATTGTCGTGGTTGTTTTGGGACCTGGTATTCGTGGTTGATATTTTAGATTTTATTGCGTTCAATTTCACCCTCAATAAAATGTGAAGGCATTGTGGAACTGAAAAATTCTATGCATATGAATATGTCTTATATATTCGCAGTCTTAATTTAGAAAACAAATTCCAATAAATTCAATTGGATCGTCGTGGTTGTTTTGTGACCTGATATTCGTGGTTGATATGACAATTAATGCCAATGAGAAATGAGTATACTACGAAGTACGTGTATAGCAATGCCCATAGCCGTTAGCATCGCACGTATTCGTGCTTCGCACTTTAAATATATAAAATAGGTCATGAAATCTACAGTATATGTGAACGAGATTAACACTAATAACATCATAACAGCTAGTCGATCAAACGGAACATGCACATTTTCATAATGCTACTAAAACAATACAAATTCTTGTAAAAGTCACTTCTCGATCTTTTAAATTTGTAGTCGTGTTTGAAATAACTTGTATACCATATACAGCATTCTTATTTTGTTTGTTAATTTGACATTAAGTCTGCCAACAAGCTGTAAACAAGTTGTGTTCGCACTGCTTATCCCAAGTATAATTGTTAACAACTTGTAACAACCTTGTTGATATTATCACACTTGTTGCAAGCTATAGGTTGGTCCAACAAGTCCGATACAGTAATGATATAGCAATATTATTACAATCCTGTCTCGTCAAACTTGTAACATTCTTGTTATGAGTATCATGACTGTATCAGACGTGTTAGAACAACCTTGCAACAAGTCTGATAATGCCATTAAGCTCGTTATAAGTTGTTAACAGCTTGTTCCAAACTTGTTATACAACAACTGGCAACAAGTAGTGCAAACACGAATTGTCGACAGCTTGTGAACAGATTTGTAACAACTTGTTAGCAAACCTGCAACAACTTGTACGTTTTTATGTGTATATAGTCATCCTTTACGAAAATTTCACCCGTGATTCACATGTACAATTAAAGTGTTCTATTCCACTTATAAGCATAAATAACTTGACATGTGAAATTAATTTTATTATATATGAACCTTTAATTTTACATGTAAAATGTTCCAATTCCGCATAAAATTTCAGACGTGAACGGAAAAGTGCGTGAATTACCTAGTATTCCAATATAAAAATTATACACGAGGTGCAAAAAACAATTCAAATTTTCTTTACAATATATAATTAGCGAATTATCTCAAAAGCGTGCATTTAAAGCCGTAAATTTACAAATTCATTCGATCTGCAACATGCAATTTCTGCATAAGTTAACAGTACCGTAGGAATCGAACCTACGTACTCATGCATGTCCAAGGCATGAGTAAACCATCATACTGGAAATTGTATGGCTTGGAAATTTTCCTCGGTCAGAAAAATTATTAATATTACATTGACTGGTCATTGTGCTATTGCGGATATACAAGTAAGGACAGAAAGACACGTTCGAATTCCCATATATACTTTCGATAGGCAAAGAAAATAAGACAGACATAAATTATTTTCAACATTACATTTTTCTCGTTCGTTTTGTCTCGATATTTACATATTTCTTAATTTTAACTGTATATACAAATCTTTCCAAAACCATATAAACATATTATTGTTTAGTGATGACAGAAGATTCCGTGTTTACATGCAGTTACAGTTACTATAACTCCTGACCTTATATACATATTTATATAAGTAAGAAACAAATTCAGAAAAGACAAGAGATCTTGAGAATACAATATATACGTCTTGTTTTGAATAATTTATATAGTGTATTCTCAAGATGTCTTGTCTTTTCGGAATTTGTTTTTTACATTTTTTTTTAAATTGTCTGCTGGTCATGGTTTTTGTACTATATACGAATTTATATTCATGCAGTTAAGTGTACATCATTTAACGTACAGTATTGTAAAGTATCTTGCATGCAATAAAATTAAAGTTATCAGGAAAACTAGGTTCTCAGGACACAACGAGATATAGATATTAAATTATTTTATAGATATTAATTAAACTTCTTCTATGTTATTTGGTTGTTCCTGTAATAATTTCGCTGCGAGTCGTTGGTTATGGAAATACAAGAACAATTTACAGTGACTCATGAAGTTTCTTTCGTTCATGTACGACAGTGATGATTTTATTCTCTTCAATGATGAGTTTCGCTGCTCTGCACCCTGACTGTTCAGATAAGGAAAGTCCATTGTTGGATAAGACGACAAATCATATGCAGATGAACAACCTACAACATTAAATAATAACTGTTTTTGTGGGCTTCACTGCTATATATATATATATATATATATATATATATATATATATATATATATATATATATATATATATATATATATATATATATATATATATATATAATAATAAATCGTTGTCCGTTGTACAAAAAGAGTGCTCAATAACAAATTTAATTGATAGAGCAAAATATACTAATTATAATCTTAAAATTTTACTAATCGCTACACAGTGTTTCACGCTTTCAAAGCGATCTTCAGGCGATACTACTCTAAATAGTTTGCGCGTTTGAAAGCGTGAAACACTGTGTAGCGATTAATAAAATTTTAAGATTATAATTAGTATATATATATATATATATATATATATATATATATATATATATATATATATATATATATATATATATATATATAGATATATATATACACACACAACTAAGCTCTATATATCTGTACCTGTATGATCGCAAGTTGGTGATTCACAAGATGTCATTACGGAAAAACCATATGTTATCCCTGCAACATAAAAAAAAGTTGATACACGCATAAGTGATCTTCTTGCAGTTTTGTGACATTAAGGTTCAACATTAGAAAATTTACCATGACGACATTGAATGAGAAATATCCCAGGTAGCAGAGTAGGGTGACGACCAGAACGTTTGGTGCAAAACTCACTCTTCGGTTCACTTCGTTTGTCCAGTACATAACTTCCACGCTCACGGACGACTGGGTGGTTGGGGAAGAAGACTATATTGGAATCTTGCTCCACACGAGAGCTTGGAATTTCGACAGTCGCTTGCGTGAATAAGAAGGGGCTAGATCCGATTTCGAGAAGCTGTTTTAATAGTGGAACAACATCTTCCGGTAGTTGATCACTGGGAACAGCACGTAAAAATTCAAACAACAAAGGGCAAGTGTCATTCAAGAGTTGAAATTCCACTGGGTGCTTCTTAATGGGATATCCAGTCAGCAATTTGTTACACAATGAAATAAGATCACTGTCTGCATGAAAGATAGCACATACAGGAGAATTTTTTGCAATTGCTACAATAAAAGCAACGACTCCATTCGGCCATTCGAAACCAAATGTCGAAATGCACCAATTTAACAACAGTTTCAAGTGCTCATATCGATGAGCATTTGAGTCCAGAAGATTATTTAAAATTTCCAACGTCTCTGACGAAGGTCCTCTTGCAACGTTAATTAGAGCTTTCCTAATATCCTTTCGAAGGACAAATGTCCTGTCTTCGTGCCTAGTAAAATAGGATGGAGAAATTATGTGCAACAATTGCAAAAATAATGTTGATTTTATTAAATAACAATAACAACGTTGTCTTCAAAAATAGCGGATAGGAAAGTTACTGCTAATCATAATTTGTAACAACATAATTGTATATGTTTTCTCGCGAAATTTCGATATAACAAGAATTCATTGGTTTTTCATAGACAAACAGCACTCGTCCTTTCGGCTGGTGCAAGATTTATTGTTTTTTGAAAACACCACTATGGTCAACGTTTTATCGAAATGCACTCGAAAGTTGAAGCCCCGCTACAACCCACACAAATGTCTAGTTTGGTTATTTTTGGTTATTCTAAGATTAAGTACAAAAATACGACATGCAGGAATAACTTATCTTCCTCTTATCTGCTGTTCCGTTGGTAATGACTCCAAGCCAGAACGCACGTCCGTACAAAAAGATTGCCTGAACGACAGTGAAGTACCATCGCATACAACCACATCCAAATTATCTGTTCCACATATCGGACAACAGAATCCATTAGCGTAATCAATATCCAAACGAGCAAGAAACGAATACCAGCTGGCCATCCATTGGCTGAGTGATAGGACTTCTCTTAATTTTGCCTTCGCTGCATCATTCATGGTTTCCTCCCACACGTTATAGTAAGTATACATTGTACACCTATATTATTAACCATATAGGAAAAATTTAAGGTAATACCAAGAAAGGTATTTTATATCTAAAAGGACATTAATATATATGGACATTATATTTAATAACCATGCATTTAGCCTCTGAACGAGAACGAAATGCCAAGTGTACCGCTAGATAACTAGCTCTAAGTGATTTTTGGAGTTAGCAACAACACAGCAAGCAACTTCAGGCTTACACATCTAGCGGCTAGGCTGACTCGCCTCGCTACACATACTCTTTAGAGTTAGGCAGTTAGCCTGTAACTCAAGGCTTAGATATCCAGCTTTTTCATGCCTTTTGGAGTAAGTTATACCTAACGCCAAATGATTTTTGGAGTTAGCAACCTCAGGCTTAGTTAACTAGCTGCTAAATGATTTTTGGAGTTATACCTAGCTCCAAAAAAAGTTTTGGAGTTAGCAACCTCAGGCTTAGATACCTAGCCGCTAAATGATTTTTGGAGTTATATCTAGTTCCAAATGATTTTTGGAGTTAGCCAGTAACTCCACAATTCATATTTCAACTCAGTTTTGAATTACACAAGTTACTCAAGTGCAGGGATGAATTTACTGGGGAGGTGCGGAACCCCCTAGACCTGGCCAGAGGGGATGCAGGGGGGTGCTATTTTTTTATGATAAAGCAAAAAAGACAAAATGAGATACAGTAACATGATAATAAGTTAACTGTGAACCACAATTACAATTCAAATGCAGTAGTTGATGGGCGGATGGCACACATGACCGACACAACTCGGCAGTCGGCACCAGAGCACTCCCCGCCCCTACAAGATCATGCTGGATCCATCCCTGCTTAAGTGTATATTTTGATTTGGAGTTAGCCCTTTAAACTTTGGAGGTAGCGTCGCTCCATAACTTCATACTTTCTACAGGCATGTAACATAGATAAACTAACCTTCCCAACAAGAAATGATGCATAAAATCACGCAACACATCATATGTAATAACGAATTTACCCATATTAAGTAAAGCGATTTCTCCACCATCGTACTCAAGACGTCCGCTGCAGCATGTATTGCTACAAGATCGATAATAAACTAAAACAAAAAATATATATAATATAAATAAACTAAAACAATAAACTAAATATATATATATATATATATATATATATATATATATATATATATATATATATATATATATATATATATATATATATATATATATATATAGTTTTGTTACATCTTTGACGTATTGCGCAATCTAAAGCATTTCATGAGGTCACATGACGATCCCATTCTTCGTTAAAACTTTGACGTAAAGGAAGGTTTTCCTTACCTCGGCAATCCATCGTGAAACTTCTCAGTATTAATTTCGAGCACATATACCAATCATGATCTCTAGGCGAGTCAGAACTCCAAGCTGAACCACATAAATCACATTTCTCGTAAATGCTGTTGCCGTTTGGAATGTTGGGAATGAAACATATACCTTCGTCATACATTGGGACGTGACACTCTGCTTTCTCAAACATGATTTTATTTAGTCTTGCAGGTAATTTAAACGGTATTGGCATGTATGATTTCGACTTTAAAAACCAAGTGGATTTACTAGGCCCCACATTGAACCGTGTTTCCAAAAACACGTAAACAAAATCTGGTTTTTCGTCATCACCCTCCATAATATTTGCGAGGATGTTTACGTGTAAACATTTACTGGAAATTCCGGTAGAACAACAACAACATGCTAATTCTCCCTTTTCCCAGCCAACAACTCCAAAGTCGTAATTTTCTAACAAAATGCAAACAATATTTTCCTTTCCAGAAATACTGTGTATGGTTGATTTTCTCTGTAAATGAAAAATACTGTAGAGGTTACATTTGTTTCCTACATAGGTACCAACAAAATTACTGCATAATTTCTTAAATTAAAACAATAAACTCTATGATATGGAACAGGCGGAAAGGTATCCGTCCACGGGACCAGAAAATTTTTTGAGCTCCCATAAAATATTTCCTCAAAAAAGAAAACTAGGGATCCAAGGATAGTGTGAAGTTTCAAATTTAAAAAGACACTGCGAGAACTATATAGGGTCGCCGACAACCTAGAAAAGCTTGATGGCTTACACTACGAAATAAACAGTTACCAAAGGCATTTCATCTCATTATTTATTGTTTTTAATACGCTCGGCACACGAGTAGCGTGACGTTTGAAACAAGCCTAACACATCAGAAACGTGCCTTGTGAAACTGATGCAATTCATCTATTTATTGTGTCACCAACAACCAAATTTTGCATATTCTAAATTTTCATTTGCATTTGCAGCTGTCGCTGAAAGCATCCCCACGAGACTACTGCTATGCTAAATTTATCTAATAAGCTATAATTGAAATAGCTGTATAAGATATGTTATGAATAATAAGCACTACGTCGTTACATCATTAAAAGACGCATTTTATCCTCATCCGTTCCGTATTTTATCCGCATATCCGTTCCGTGGATCCGCTCTATCCGCTTCCGCATTTTAACTTAATTGTGATATGTTTCACAATAACAAGTTTCATTGACCTTTGACTTTTCCCAGTGTGACGTGTGTCTATTTTCAGCTTTTTGCATGTGTTGAATTTATGCCTTATTGATCTGATACAAATCTGATGCAATTTTTTTTACTTTACTATATTTCACTATTATAAACTTTCACTATTAGAAAGTTACTGTATCAATGAACAACACATTTAATAAACAGGTTGGATATCTATGACACATATGTAAATATGATCATGGACACAATAAACATTGTGGAAACACCAACTTTTGAACCGTTATCATGAAGCTTACCATATAATTGTGATCTCCTTCTAAAACATCACTCAGTGTAAAGTTACATGCATCAATTCCATTCTGGCAATCAAATCCACTTAGAATTTCCTTTAAAGACTTTACATGCAAGCACGTTTCATACCTGCTGACAAAATCTGAAAATAAATATTTTTCAAATTTTCAAAAAGGATTATTTACCATTCAAATACTCATTAATAATTCATAAGCTTATTGGCAAATCATGTCAACCATAATATGTCACGTGCAGTGGCTTTAAACCTGATAAAACACTCCTAATTAGTATTCTTTATATAAAGAATACTAATAAGGCAGTATCTATTGTAGTCGTGTCCTCATTAGTATTCTTTATATAAAGAATACTAAAAAGGCAGTATATCTATTGAATTTGTAGTCGTGTTTTGTTTGAAGCCGTTTAATAAACTCGCAGGTCGTGTTTTATTAGGTCTAAACATGGGCGTACCGGGCGGGGGGGGGGCGGGTGGCAGCCCCCCAGTTTTTTGGGCAGTCGGGCAATATTCGCTGAACAGTCGGGCAATTTTGGTTAATTATAAAAAAAATGGGACAAATTTTGTAAATTTTGTGGAAAATTTTGTGATGTTTCCCAATTTTTTGTAGGTTCCGGACAATTTTGGTATGTCACGAAAAAAATTTTGACCGCTAAAATGGTACACTGACCGAAATTTTTCCTTCCGGTACGCCCATGGGTCTAAAGCTAATAAAACACTCCTGCTCGTTTATTAAACAGTACTTAAAATACTCATTAATAATTCATAAACCTTGTGGCAAATCATGTCAGCAATAATATGTCACGTGGAGTGAATTTATATCTGTTAAAACACATGCATGCATGTGGCATTATATAATTGTTCATCCTAATTAGTATTCTTTGTAGTCGTATTTTAAGCTATTCAAAACACTCGCTCGGCTGCGACTCGCATTTTACATCTGATAAAACACTCCTACTCGTGTTTTAAACAGCACCTATTCCACTAAAAACTGGAATGCAGGCCTATATCCATTATTCCATCATTTGGAATCCATGAAGCTTTCGTTGAATTACACACAAGATATACAATACAAGTATACTTATTTATTTGTTTATTAAAGGTGATGTAAAGTGCGTAATGTAAACAAACGCTTTGTTTACATTTTCAACTCAGTGGACAGTGCTACAGTTGTAAAATATGATTAGACATATATTATACTGAATTGTTAACACTCTTCTGGTCGCTATGCTTGTAAAATAATACAGACTACAGATTCAATTAAAGAAAGTTTGGAAGGTGCGAAATATTAACAACATTGACCCGACCATTGGAATTTAGGCCTGCACAGAACGTATGCGCAGAACAGACTTTACATCACCTTTAACTTTGTCTTGTACACACTATTATAATATTACTACATGCATAACTCTTTAACTTACACAATTTATCACTTAACCTTATAAAAGAACATGTTCATTCACTAAAAAAATACCTTCATAAATCATGTCTACATTAAAAGCAACCGATTCAACCACTGCCCTAACTCGGTTCGCACATGAGCATGCATAATTCCATCTCACATGACCATCCAAAAAATTATGAGGGGAACGTGTTACCAAAACAAATTTTTTATCCTAGTAAGAAAACAGAAACAAGGTTAATTGCACACAGTGAGCCTGGTTTATGACTTGGAAGAAAATCAGACTTTCAGTCAAAAGAACAAGGAAAAACAACATGGTAAACAGAAACCATAAGTATTTTTTTACAGTATAAAAAATGAAAAATCTTAGAGAGAAATTCTTGCAACCTGATTGATGGTTAACATCATGCATGCAGTGTACATGTAACCAAATATACGGTACAGTGACGACTTTCAATATATAAATATATATATATATATATATATATATATATATATATATATATATATATATATATATATATATATATATATATATATATATAACTACAGACGGTACCGTTTCGGCCTTATGGGCCTCATCTGTGTAGTGCTGATGAGCAGGATGAAAGCAACTCTTATTTATAGTTACCTTCGATGCCTCACGATTGTGGGACATCAAAACCATGCCAGAGCGCTCAAACTGCAAGCAGTGAGCGTGCGCAATGCGTAAGCGGCATGGCTCATCCTGTAGAGCGCTCAATATGACCTAAAGGCCATAAAGCGATATCTAACTACAGACGGTACCGTTTCGGCCTAATGGGCCTCATCAGTGTAGTGCTGATGAGCAAGATGAAAGTAACTCTTATTTATAGTTACCTTTGATGCCTCACGGTTGTGGGACATCAAAACCATGCCAGAGCGCTCAAACTGCAAGCAGTGAGCGTGCGCAATGCGTAAGCGGCATGGCTCATCCTGTAGAGCGCTCAATATGACCTAAAGGCCATAGAGCGATATCTAACTACAGACGGTACCGTTTCGGCCTAATGGGCCTCATCAGTGTAGTGCTGATGAGCAGAATGAAAAGTAACTCTTATTTATAGTTACCTTTGATGCCTCACGATTGTGGGACATCAAAACCATGCCAGAGCGCTCAAACTGCAAGCAGTGAGCGTGCGCAATGCGTAAGCGGCATGGCTCATCCTGTAGAGCGCTCAATATGAC